AAATAAAATTAGTTATTTCAGATGCTTAATTATATAATTCTTCTAAATAGAAAAAAAAAAGATAAAAGTTGAATGACGTGTCTGAGTTCCAGGCAATTCAATATCTCTCCAAAGCTCATTAAATTTTAAAGAGAAAATACAAAATAATTCTTCTTGAGATTTTGATTCTCAAGATCTAAAACAACCACAAATGCTGAATAAGAAAATTTCAAAAGCACAAATATAATATTGGTTAGTCACAACCTAGTGAAATTTTTTAGGTTCACAAGAATATAAATCCCTATAAGTTTCCAGAGAGGGGAAAAATGCAACTTAAAAAAAAATAAGTAAATTGTAATTGGGCTTCTTTATATATATAATTTTTTACACTTTATTCACTTTGTATCCCCCCATAATCCCCTCCTTCCTCCCCTCCCAGTCCCACCCTCCCTCCCCCTTTTGCGTGCATGCCCCTCCCCAAGTCCACTGATAGGGGAGGTCCTCTTCTCCTTCCTTCTGATCTTAGTCTACCAGATCACATCAGGAGTGGCTGCATTGTCATCTTCTGTGGCCTGGTAAGGCTGCTCCCCCCTCAGGGGGAGGTGATCAAAGAGCAGACCAATCAGTTCATGTCAGAGGCAGTCCCTGTTCCCATTACTATGTAACCCACTTGGACACTAAACTGCCATGGATTACATCTGCACAGGGGTTCTAGGTTATCTCCATGCCTAGTACTTGGTTGGAGTATGGGTCTCTGGGAAGACCCCTGTGTTCAAATCTTCTAGTTCTGCTGCTCTCCTTGTGGGGTTCCTATCCTCTCCATAACCTACTATTTCCCACTTCTTATATAAGATTCCATGCACTCTGGTAATTAGGCTTCTTATATGACATATTTTATGCTGAAAAATAATGGAGCAATCGCTCTTACAGTTCTAAAGAAAAAATATATATCAGAAATAATTTAAAACTAGGCACAGTGGAGCATGTCTGTAATACCAGCACTCTGGGAGTCAGAGGCAAGCAGATCTCTGTGAGTTTTGGGCCAGCCTAGTCTACAAAGTGAGTCCAGGACAGCCAATGTTACACAGATACACAGAGAAGCATGTGTGTGTGTGTGTGTGTGTGTGTGTATGCATGTATATTGGTTTTATAGAGACAGGGTTTTTCTGTGTAACCCGGTTGTCCTGGACTCATATATGTATATATGTATATGTATATACATATATGTATAAATTGTGAACCAACAACAGCCAAAAATCATGTTTAATAGCAATATTCTATGAATCATGATGAGATTGTTGAGAAAGAACTTCTAAAATTATAGTGACATACTACAATAATGTAATATTATTATACCACTATACCCAAGATGATATAAACATATTTGAAATTGAAATTAGGATTCAACTGAAAGCATATTGCAAGATATAGCTTGGGCTAGAGAAATAGCTGAGCAATCAAGATAATCTCTTGTTACCTGAGTTTAGTTCCCAGAAACCATATTCAGTCACTCACAGTTGTTTGTAACTCCAGTTCCAGGTATATCAGAGACCTCTGACTTCTGATGGCACCTGCAGTCATATACACATGCACACATATACACATGCACATACGCACACATGCTTAAAAATAAAAAATATATATATATATAACTCTTTAAAAAAAACCATGGCTTTCTGGAGGTTGGGGTCGTTTTAGTTGAAAATATGTTTACACGCTTGATGGAAATAAAATTGTAGCTACCAATAAAAATGTTCAGCAGCTAGGTGGTTGTGGCACATGCATGTAATCCCAGCACGTGGGAAGCAGAGGCAGGCAGATCTCCATAAGCTCAAGGCCAGCCTGATTTACAAAGTGAGTTCTAGGACAACCAAGGCTACACAGAGAAACTCTGTCTTGAAAAACCAGAGAGTTAGACAGAGACAGAGAGAAAGCGAGACAGAGAATTGCATTGTAGCATAGAATCTTTCAGTGGCAAAAGGCAAAAACATATATCAGGAAGACTCCAAAGATGTAATAAAAAATTGCACAAAATAGACGACATACAAGGCTTCAAATATGAAATTATAACTAATATGGATGACTGAATCCTCTAATTAAAATACAAGGACTTTCAGTTTGGCTTTATAAAAAAGCTAAACTATTCAGTCTTTGTAAGATACATATAAAATATAGACAGAAATACTGAAAAAGAAATGGGAAAAGATCAGAAACATGAGAATTAAAATAGTCAGGATTGTTAAGATTAATTTTAGATAAATTTAAAGGAAAAATAGTGCATTAAATAGTGCAAATAAAGTTATTTTATATTTAAAATATTATGATTCAATAAAACATATAACAGGAAACTTCTGCTAACTAGCGTAACTTTGAAATCTATAAATATAGTTCTTAGGAATGCAGCAGGTAACAGCTTGATATTGAGCATTTTTTCATATAATCTGCTGGATATTTCAATCTTTTTTAAATAAAAATATCTGTTTAGCTCCTCTATTCACTTAAACAATTGGATTATTTATTTTATTTTCTCTTATTCCCGAATTAATTGAGTTTCTTATGTTTTCTGGATATTAATCTCATACATAAAGGCTCCATTTAAAAAGGATGTCAATTCTCAAATTAAAGTGCAGGTTTACTGAAAGTTCTGCATCAAATATCAACATTTTCTGTATAGGTTGTTCAATTCTTTAGGCTGTGAAATATTTGCATAGAGAAAGAAATTATTGGAAGTTGTTGATGGTAGCAAAGGCATTACAGCGAACTTTTATATCTTCTCTATATTTTTGCAATTTGCACATATTTGAAGAAAAGTAAATTAGTGTACATAAAATGAACAAGTTTATGGGGGATCTACCTATCTGTCTGTCTGTCTATCTATCTTTTTCTAAGTGAGTGGGTTTAGGGGTTTTTCAGTTTTTTATAATTCTGTAAGGATCTGGTAAGATCCCTGATTCTTTTCCCTATTAAAATGAACTTCCTTATGCGTATAGTCTCAACAAAATTTCAGGTAACAGCTGGCCAGGTGAAAGTGCCTACTCTAGGTTTAGTGTGGTCATTAGACCTGGAATACATTTGACTGAGGTACATCAATGTGAATGTGAACTTGTAGACAGTGACCCTGAAATAAGATTAGGCTCTATGTGGATTTCTTGCAGGACAGAGACCTGGCAAGCTGTTCTTCTCAGGAACTGATAGCAGCAGATAGCAGCAATATTAGGAGCAGCAGATAGCAGCAATATCAGGAGCATCATGAATAAAGGCAAAGAGGGAGGTGGAAATAGGAAGCTCCTTTATGCACTGCTTAGATACTTCTTGGAAACTTGGGGAAAGCCATGAAGGGACCAAATATATTTACTTGAGAGACAAAAGAATTAAAAATTGTTTTTTTGGGTTATTGGATTAAAGTTTAATACACAAGCTTAAAGAAAAGTGAGACACATCGAGACATGTCCAGCCACCTGAGGGAAGGTGCATTCTTTCCTGGCGTCTAGAGGTACAGTTGCTAAGAAACCAGCCCAGATCTTCCCTCTCCCCTCAGACAGCCAAACAAGGGAAGCCAGACCGTTAATGGTTTGGGGGCCTTCCTATAGCCAATCAATTCAAAATGCAACATCCCTCTTTGTATTTCAACCAATAGATGCTTGCCAGGCTGGAATTCCCATGCTTTAGGTGCGCTGGGAGGGGCTGGGACATTTAAATCCCACTCCTCCCTCTGAGCTCAGAGGTCCACTCTCAACTGCTGCATTGGTGAGAGTGTGGGCTCAAGCTCGAGTTTGCAATGAAAAGACCTTACTGCATTTGCATCGGAAACAGCTCCGTGGTGGTCTTTGGGATCCGTGGGACTTGGGCACAACATATTGTTATATGAATAAAAGTGGCATATACCGTTGTGGTTATTGGTGTGTGTGTGTGTGTGTGTGTGTTGGGTTTGAGCAAAAAACAGCTGCCTGAATACAGGGAATGAGAGGCTGTGGAATGTAAGAGGGCAGCACATTCCTCCCTTCTTGGGAGGGCAAGGGGAAAGGGATAGTCTCTTACTCTCAGCTGTCCCAGCTTTAGAACACCGCTATCTAATCCAGGAGCAGGTGTTTAAAGTAGCCATCAAATCTTTTCTATAGCAATCAGTTAAGACTCTGGGGCTCCAATACATGTTTTACATTAATTAAATAACTTAGGATAGATTGTGTTGCTTTTACTTGACCAAATTGCAAGTTGAGCCAAAAGTACAAAAAATAATCACCAGTTTGTTTAAAATGACTCAAATTAGACAACTGGTCATGTTTTTATTTTTAGAGTATTCACATGCAAAAATTCCAGTTTTCGATTTTAAAACAAGTTAGCATTGTGATAGCAACTATTTGTAATCAGTAGAAATGTTTTTGTGTGGTTTTGTGCAATTAGTAAGGTGCACTGGATTTTCCTCTTCTACTTAAATTTTTCTGATACAAAGGAAAAATATAATTTTATATCCTCAATGTGAAAGCAAAGCTGATTTTTAACAAGTGTGGAGAAAAGTTTAAGAAAGACAAAAACAACTTCACTCCATATCTCCTTTTCTGAAATCCTATTTGTTATAAGAGTGCGGGGAAGATGCAGGATCTTCCCAGCTGAAAGGGACCAGGGAGAACGGAAAGCATCTGGGGTGGGAATTAAAAAAATAAAAAGCCAGAATTACTCCTAGAAGAGGAAGAAAAGGCCAGTGTAGTCTCCGTGTTAACCATAGAAAGGCAAATTCCAACCACAAAAGAAGCTCCTTCTGGTTTGGGGATTAACAAAGAGGAAAATGAATAGCAGGGTCTGGTATGGCCCAGAAGGAGGGGGAAAGGCTCCCTCTTGCTGCAGTGTTTGAGGGAATGCTAGTTGGAGTCCTGATCTCACTGATGACGTGACCCTCACGTGAGCTGAAGCCTACGTGTGCAGACGTCTTTCTAATTCTAGTCTGCGTTTGGTGTTTGCTCTTTCTGTGTTATCGCTGTGAGCAGCCCGGCCTGCTGTAGAAGGAGGAAGAGAAGGTAATTGCCTGCATCCCAGCAGGTCTGTGTTGTGGATGGGGGGTGCCCGGGGGATCGCTGTCTTGGAGGTAGCAGTTAGCAGACATGCCAGCCACATAGTCTGCTCTCTCCACACGCTTGCAATGTCCTGGGATCCTCCTAGGTAAAAAAAAAAAAAAAAAGAAAAGAAAACGGTGAACTGAACGTTGGAAGGAGAGATTCCAGGAGAGACCCCAGATCCCAATTAGCGTTGGGGAGGCGAGTATTTGGCATGTCAGGACCTAGAATCCGGAGGGGCAAGTATTATGGATGGGTGCATGGGTCCATCTACAAAGAAAAATTTGAGGCAGTGAGCACTCTTGTCCTGTGCCATTAAGTACGGTGCAGCAGTTTTTGACGCAAAGGAATAATCGACATCTAATTTCTACAAGTCAGTCAGTCTAAAGCTGAGATTGTTTGCGGCTTGCAAATGGGTGGTGGTGTTTAGGATTATATTGTAACTTGGGACCATTATTCACTCGTTAGCAATTTATATGTCCGTCGTTCCCCACCCCACGCCCCAGGAAAAAGGACTGTTCTCCCAGCTGTGCAGAAAAAAAAAAAGACTATCTTTGGTGTGGGCTGGTTTGGGGAACGAACTGGGATGGCTTCCAGTCCTGCGCTTCCAAAGGGGTGTGGTTTTTGCTGGGAAAATGGCGGACCACTGCAGAAAAAAGTGGTAGGATGTAGTAGTATAGCTCTGGGACAGTGTCTACGGAGTCCAGAGAACTGGGGGGTTAGGGTGACAAATAATAAAACGAAATCCATCTGGCCGACCAGGTTCCTGGATTTGGAAAAGCTAGCACTTAGATGGTCTAAGTTTTGTATTCTGTCTTTGCTTAGGCGCCTGTATTCGTGGATCTTGCTCCTGAAGACCAGTTCAAACAGAGGAACAGGGGAGGAAGAAAAAAAAATCTCATCAAGTAGGTCAGAAGAAGCATGATGACACTGTTTGGGGGGGTCACCGGGATAGACAACAATGGTGACTATGAACTCCAGTGGACTCAGACTTTCTCTGCATCCCCTTTGCCCATCTATTTACGTTGGTCCTGAGCTTACAAAAGGAAGTACTTTGCAGATCAGAAACCAAGAAGAAGGTGGTTAGAGATGGTTAGTACTGGGTTGGAGACGGGGAGGACATTATTCTAAAATACTGAATGGTGCAGTCCTTGTTGGTGTTAGTCTAATAGGCACCCAGTTTGTTAGATTATAAGTATGGTGAAGTCAGGAGCTGAAATGAGGGAGGAAAGAAATTTCTGAGAGCAGTGGAAATTGATGTAATTGTTCAAGAGAGTGAGGAGGCTGTCTTTAAGATAGTCCAGGTGGCAGAAGTAAGTGTGGATGCACTTAAAGTCTATCTGATTTCTAAGTGTTGCTGTTTTTTATTATTATTATTTTCGTATGGAAGGGTATATGTTCATTCACAAGTCATGCTCTAGTCAACTCCTAGGTTGATAAGCCACCTGCGATGTCTAGGTTGGTTGCCACTGCCAGGGACTAGGGATAAAAAGACCCCTGCCTCTTACTTTTCTCTCTCTTCTCTTGCACTCTCTGCTTTGGTTTCTCTCCTGGGGGGGCACCATGTTTCTCTCTCTCCACCTCCATCCAATACATCTCTTTCATATCAGATCAGTTGTATGTGGCATTTTAAAATATATTATTTCAGTATGTAGTGTTACCTTTGGAAGAACTGACAGATAGGGTAGTGGTAGTAGATAGATGGACTGCTCAGAGGACTGATCATCCAAGGAGGAAGGTAATAGAAGGTAAGAAACATTGCAGTGAAAGACAAGGGGATGGGAAGTGAGAAGATGGATAATATGTTCTGTCTTGAGTATCATTTATCTAGTTCTTGAATTCTCAGATCAGACCTGTATTCTTTTGTTTGCAGATCTGCAAGAGGTTGGAAAGGAGAGGGTACTAATCAGAACTATGTGAGGGTGACTCTGTGATCCTGACTCAGGATATCTTGAAGGGTAATGATCATAGGCAACTTCTAAATATATTCAATTTAATATTCTTGGGATGGGTGAAAGAACATAAGTTTGGAGAATCTGAGTGTTTGGAAAACTTTCAAAATTGCTTCCACATAAAGGAAAGAAATAATGATGAGGGTACCAAGTTCCAAATGCTGGCCAATATCTCTCTGTATGTTTGTATGTTTATAGTAAGAGATTAAGTCCTATTTATGTACAAAGTCATAACTGGAGAAATCAAAAGTCTGCAATCTTCTTTTTCCTCCCCTAGGTATCACTGTATCTGCTGTTTGTAGCTGCTCCTACCTGTAGAATCTGAAGACTTTGCCCCTGACCTGGGAATATTCTGGACCAGAACAAGTCTGCTCTCTGTCCAGGTTAAGGGATTTGCCTCAGCTGTACCATGGGGCGCACCCGGGAAGCTGGGTGTGTAGCTGCAGGCATGGTCATCGGGGCTGGTGCCTGTTACTGTGTATACAAACTAACCTGGGGAAAAGATGAGAATGAGAAACTATGGGATGAGGAAGAAGATGAGGAAGAGGAGAAAGAAGAAGAGGAAGAATCTTGTAGTGGCAAACCAGAAATTTGGGGAAAAACTGAGAGAGAAGTGAAGGCTAATGTTGGGGTTGAGGCAGGAGCCAAACCTCAAGATAGCTCAAAGGCTGAAGTGAATGTGGGACCTGCAAATGGTCCAGGGATAAAGAAGGAAATGCATCCAGAATCCCAGGGTGGGGGTGGCCTAGAAGCTAAGGCCAAGGCCCTTTTCAAGATCCTAAAGGAACAGGCACGTGCAAAGGCAGGCAGAGGGATCAGGCTTCCTAACATCTCTGGGAATAGGACCCTGGCCCAAAGTTTGCCCTGCCCAGGAGGCAGGGGTGGGGGCTGTCACCCGGGAAGAAGTGGCTCTAGAGCTAGGAGCAGAGCAAGTGGAAAAACCAAGAGAAAGACCCGAAGTAAGAGCACTAAGGCCCCAGCCACAGCATGGCCTGTGAGAAGGGGCAAGTTCAACTTTCCCTATAAAATTGATGATATTCTGAGCGCCCCTGATCTTCAAAAGGTCCTTAACATCTTGGAAAGAACGAATGACCCTTTTACTCAGGAGGTAGCATTGGTTACACTAGGTAACAATGCAGCATATTCATTTAATCAAAATGCCATACGTGAATTGGGTGGTGTCCCAATTATTGCAAAACTGATAAAAACCAAAGACCCCATTATTAGGGAAAAGACCTACAATGCCCTTAATAACTTGAGTGTTAATTCTGAAAACCAGGGCAAGATTAAGGCTTACATCAGTCAAGTGTGTGATGATACCATGATTTGTCGCTTGGATTCAGCTGTACAGATGGCTGGACTAAGACTGTTAACCAACATGACTGTGACTAATCATTACCAACATTTGCTTTCCTATTCTTTTCCAGACTTTTTTGCTTTGTTATTCCTGGGAAATCACTTCACCAAGATACAGACTATGAAACTAATTATAAACTTTACTGAAAATCCAGCCATGACAAGAGAGCTGGTTAGTTGTAAAGTACCATCAGAACTGATTTCCCTATTTAATAAGGAATGGGATAGAGAGATTCTTCTTAACATCCTTACCCTTTTTGAAAATATAAATGACAATATAAAAAGTGAAGGGCTTGCATCATCCAGGAAAGAATTCAGCAGAAGCTCATTATTTTTCTTATTCAAAGAATCTGGAGTGTGTGTTAAGAAAATCAAAGCGTTAGCAAATCATAAGGATGTGGTGGTCAAAGTGAAAGTTCTAAAAGTATTAACCAAACTATAATTTGAGATCTGTTCCAAACAACACTGATGTAATGTTTCAGCGTTTGCACATGGAAACAGCGTATTGTCTAAATTCTTAGGTTTTCATTGCACTTTTGTTACAAAGAGATCCTTTGAGCTGCTGTTTAGGAATAATAAATATCACAGATTATTAATAGTCATTGATGCTGGCTTTATACTGAGACATTTTATGTATGCCAAATACATATTAGAGCTTGCACAACAAAAGCATTTATTAATTCAACTCGCTACCTAGGTTGAGAGATTTTTATTGTTTAACTAAACCATACAATGAAGAAACTATTATGTCTAACAAACTATACTTTTATATTGATTTAGATTTGTTCATCTAAGAGTTGTGCTTTATCAATAAAGGTATGTTTAAGAAGTAGAAAAAAAGGCTTTGTTTTTGTTCTTGGCTTTGGGATCTGTTTGGAGACACAATGTGTGACAATACATAAAATTAAAGACTATATATGTTTATAAAATCTAAAAGAGCTTCTAGTCATGCGTGGATGCTTTCTGTCAGTGTTTAGAGGCAATGGAAACTATTGTATACAGTAGTGCCCAGGAAATGTTTTATTAAGAAGGGGAACTTAAAGAGGCTGAGCTTGAAGAATGGAATACAAAAAGGTCAGAAGGTTATTGAGGGCACAGTGGTGGAAGAAAAGCCAGGTGAGAATCCAGCATTAGAGAGCAGGCTAGTGAGACTGTCAGAATTAAAGAGGAGGGCCTTATATAAATGTTCATACAAAGTCAATGGAGCTGACAGGTATTAGGAAAGGATTCTTACAGAAAATTGCCCAAGAATAGCTGTCGTGGAAGATTATCAAATCCATGAGCATGTGCAGATGCTACTGAACCTGACACAAAAAGTACTTTAAGCATTGATGCATGATCTTTTGTTTGAAAACACCAGATATGATCTTCTTTGTTTTATCTTTACAAGTTTCCCTTGCCTCAGACTCTTTGAATATGCCCATGTGCTATGTGGATTTGAGTTGTAATATTCCCTGTTACTCTCAAATTAGAATCCATATTCTTAGGTTAATCTCTCCCTGGTATTTTAATTTTTTATTTAGATTGATGATAGGATAAGAAGGATCCTGGCAATTGATGGGACAGACAGATGGGGGGCAACTCCAAGCCACTTCCTGATGTCCCAAGGTTTCCCTGGAAGATTGCAGCTGTCAGTCATTTTAGGACAAGCAAGATCCTGGCTGTGACTGTGGAGCTCATGGGTCAGGTCAGGGAGAAACTAGTTTCTTCTCTTTTAGGGATGATGTTAAGACACCCAGAGAATATTCTGCTATTTGGACTTTCTCATCAAACAGTTTTAAGACCTGTGTCAACCCAAATGTGCTCAAAGACAATTTTCTAATAATGGGGCTCAGTTCCCCACCACCCACAAAACATAACAATTCAAGGCTCAGGAAACAGATTTTCTTTCTGTAATTCACATTTCATCTGCCTTGTTTCAAAAGAAACTGCAGTGTAGGTCAGACAGCTGATGAAGATAACATTTTGCTTTCATGGCTCTCTGGTTTTGCTTGGTTCTCTTGAGAATGTCTTTGAACATAGCAATTACATAAGACTAATTTCCTTTGCTGGCTGTTTGCATTATGTTTACCCCACATCCCAAGCTGAAGTTTTTCCCTGGCTTGTGTGAGTTAAGTTGAGGCTCTTCCATGTCTTTAACTCAGCAGTCTCAGTTCTATTGCTAGTTCCCCTGTGTGCTCACGCTGAGGGAAAGGAGGAGGTAGGAAAGCGGTACTTAGAATTGCTAGTGCTACACATGCTCCACCTACTTTCAATGGAGGCCTTGTCAGACCTGTGATGAGAGCTTAGGCAACGTGTGTACTTGAAGAGGGAGGGAAGGCAAGGGTGCAAGCTAGTGGAGGGGCAACTTTGTTTGCAAAGGTTCCTGCAAATGTAATTTGACTCCCTACTGAGAGTGGGATGACCATTAAAACCCTGAAAGGTGAATGGCAGCTTTCTTTGAGCTTTCAGCCTCCTTGTTTATGGAGTCTTGCTGAGCTTGCAGAGGACATAACATGTTACAAAAAAAAAATGGGACTTCCTTTTGAAAATAAAATCAAGAATGATAATTTATTACTGTGAGAAACAGAATTAAAAATACCAGATTCACAGAATCTGCTGTTCTGAACATTCTTTCTTAAAGATAATAAGATCTAGATCAAATTGAAATGATCACAGAAATGTATTGTTTATTTATTACTCAGAGAACTTACCCAACTTACATAAATTCTGGTACAGTCTAAGTAAGACAGCCTGATGCATTATGTGTGTGATAGACATTGCCTCTTTGCTAAAATCCAGTAAGTGTAACCAAAAGCTAAAGCGCAATTATAACTTTTGTCTGTCTACATGCTTCTGCGGTAGAGGGAAAACATTAGTGCATGGTAGTTTTATGAGAAAATTAATGAAAAATATTGGCTGCTAGAAATTGAGGAATACATACTCGCTTTTAGCAACACATTATATCTGGATAGAACTATCTGCTGCTTTCCTCCTTTGGAAGCTAACACATGGCACCTTCTGATACCACGAAAGTGAAAGCTAGCCCTCAAGGAGGAGTTTCAGATCAATTCCAGCTCAGGGACCTCTGGGCTCTATGTCTGAAATGCATAGTGTCTTCAGCAATATGGAAGTTCTTTCCACCTCTGGGAGGCAACTGAGGGCAATAGCAATAGCCTGTAATGACTGGGGGAAGTTCTCTTACAGCACTGTCCAACAACTCAAAGGGGCTTCTCAATCCTCACATTGAGTTTTTTGTTAGTGACCTTTGGCTAATAGGAGGTAGTATTGCCAGCGCAGATAGGAAAATTTAACTCAAACTATATATGTATATGTATGCACGGACTAACTTGTATTATTCTAGGTAGTTAATAGTATAATTCTTTATGATTTTTTTAGACATTCTTGTTATTTTTGCCTACCTCCCTCTTCCCTCTGTATCTGTTTGCCTCTACCTTCCTATTAAGGCCCACTGTTTTCACACTTTCCCCTACTTTGTTTTTCCCCACTCTATTGTTCTCCCTCCTCTCCTCAATGATCCCCTTTTAGTTTCCTTGTTTCTGCAATTACTGTTAGGACCAAATAAAATGATGATGCACACAGCAGATTTTATATGAAAGAGGTCTTTGGATGGAGATGAAGAGAGAGAGAGGAGAGAGCAAAACATGATAGGGGAAAGGGAAAGGGCGCCCCAGCAGAGAAAGGGGAGAGGGTTAGAGGGCAAGAGAGGGCAAAAGAGCGACAAAGTGGCTGGTTGAACCTTTTAAGGAGAAATTTAACCATGCCTGCCAGATGTGGCTACCTGGCAGGTGACACATGATGACATCATAGGTTGCTGGGCAACCCAGAGGCAGGCTGCCTAAGTACTAACAGTTACTCCATGTTATATACTCACATCTGAACATTTGGAGCTAAGAACCTCAAATAAGAGAAGATGTGATGTTAGTCTTTTTTGTGTCTGGGTTACTTCACTCAGTATGATCTTTTCTAATTCCATTTACTTGCAAATTTCATGATTTCATTCTTCTTTATAGCCAAATAGAATCCCAAACTGTATATGAACCACATTTTAATTATCCCATCCATTTGTTAGCTGAAAGACGTTTAGGTTGTTTCTATTTTGTAGCTATTGTGCTTAGACCAACAGTGAATATGGCTCAGCAAGTATCTGTGGAGTAGGATATAGAGTCCTTTGGACACATTATAGTGATATGTCTGGATTACATGTTAGTTTATATTTATATTTAGGTTTTGAACATTTTCTACATTGATTACCAGAGTGGCTGCACCAGTTTGCAATACAACCAAAAGTCAATAAGTATTTTCTTTCCCCCACACCCTCTCCAGCGTTTGTGTAGGTTGTTTTGTTGATTTTTTCCCCCTTTCTGACTGGGGTAAGAAAAAATATCATAGTTTTAACTTTCATTTCTGTAATTGCTAGGGACAATGACAATTTTCTGAGATATTACCAGACATTTTTATTTCTTCTTTTTTGAGAACTCCCTGTTCAGATGCAAGCCCATGTTTTTAATGGATTTTTTGTTTTCTTTTGACTCTTTGTTTTTGTTTTTGAGTTCTTTATATATTCTGGATATTAATCCCTGTCAAATGTATAGCTGGAAAAAATTCTCTTTTATTCTGTAGGCTTCATCTTCAGCCAAATAATTGTTTCTTTAGGTATGCACAAGCTGTTTAGTCTTATGAGATCCCATTTGTAAATTGTTGGCCTTGTTTCTTAGGCAGATGGAGTCCTATTCAGGAAGTCTTTTCCTACATCTAGATTGTGTATGGTGCTGCCAATATTTTCTTCTAGCAGGTTTAGTGTGTTGTGTTTCATATTTATTTCATTTGGACTCAGTTTACATACAAGGTGATAGATATAGGCCTAATTTCATTCTCCATATGGATATCCAGTTTTCCCAGCACCATTTGTTTCCATGTGTTTTTGACACCTTTGTTAAAAATTAAATGGCAGATGTATTTATGGCTTAGATTTTGTTCCTTTGGTCTACCTGTCTTTTTCTTGTGTTACTACCATGTTGTTTTTCATTACTATGGGTCTCTTGATATCTGGAATGGTAAATGCCTTCAACATTGTCCTTTTTTTTAAGGTTTTGAGAGTTGACAGTCTTTCCTGGTTCCATATGAATATTAACTTAAGTCTTTCTTTCTTTCTTTCTTTCTTTCTTTCTTTCTTTCTTTCTTTCTTTCTTTCTTTCTTTCTTTCTTTCATCCTGGAATAGGACAAGAATTTTGATTGATGTTTCATTGAATCTGTAAATGGTTTAGGTAGAATGGTCAGTTTCACAATGTTAATTCTACCAATCTATGAGCATGTGATATCTTTCTATTTTCTACTGTTGCTCTCTATCTCTTTCTTCAGAGGTGTAAAGCTTTTATTTTAGAAGTTTTTTACCACCCTGGTTAGGTTTATTCCTAGATATTTTATTTTCTTTGAGGTTATAGTAAATAGACTTATGTCCATGACCTCTTTGTCTGTTCATGGTGTATAAAAAAAGTTGTTGATTTGTGCATGTTAATTTTGTGTCTTTACACATTGCTCAGTTTACTTATTGTTTCTAGAAGTTTTCTGGTAGAACTTTTAGGATTGTTAATTTATAGTATCATATCATTTTCAGGGATAATTTGACTTCTTTGCCTATTTATACTCTTAATTTCTTTCTCTTGCTTTATTGTTCCAGCAAGTACTTTGAGCACAATATTGTAAAAGAGTGAGGATAGTGGATCCCTGACTTCCCTGAGGTTACTTCAAGTTTCTTTCCATGTAGGATGATGTTGGCTATGCGCTTTTCATATATACTTTTACTGTGTTGAGGTATTTTTCCCTCTACT